TAACTTCATATTTTGAAAATGGAACTCTTTTCCAATATTACAGTGTATGTATTTTATTACTCTGTCATTTGTTTACGATTTGGAAGAGAAGAAAAGAAAGAAAAGAAGAAGAGAAGCTATATTTAATATTTCTAAGGTATTTTGAACCTGATAAATATGACCCAATAGGGCTGTAATGATGATGATGATGAAATATGACCCAGATAGTTTTTGGACAAAACGTGGCTTCAACATTACGACCCCAAAACAAAATTATAGTCTATGACTTGGAAAAGATAATCATCATCAGATCAACTCCTAAGAACTTTAGGGCAAGTCCTTTCGCTGGTAAGTTCATGCATATAGCCTCTCTTTTCTGAGACAGTTAAGGTATCTTTTAAGGAAGTAATGATTAAATATCTCGATCATGTTACGGGCACATTAAGTAATAAAAAAATTACGCAACGAAATCCACGAGAAACAGCGTGGAAAACTGGCAGAAAATTTTTGTTTTTACACGATAGCGCCCGGCTCACAAATCTGGCTGCAATCTGAGATGCTGGTTTTGAAAAACTTATATTGGTCTACATCATGGTTGATGCAAATATATCTAAATGACTTTGCGAGTATAAAAACATGACATAAATCTTTTAATGACGTCGTCTAAGAAGCTTGATTTATTTATACCTCTTAGGGACTGTAGACGTTAGTACTGACTATTAATTTCAACTTGATACCTCTACCGGTTTTCGAGAAAAAAGGTCTTACAAACATATGTTTCAAAAATTTTGAAAAATCTGATACGCTGATAAAATAGGGAATGAAAGTTCATATGAATGTTCAGAAATATTTAAAAGTTAAGACCATTAAAAAATCGTATACAGCCTTTGGATTAAAGGATAAAAGGAATTAAAAACTTAGTTGGCGTTCCGTATTCATCTTATTGATTCTATAGTTGCAGTTGTACCAAAGTTATTTTTATTTTTTACACTTATAGCGACATACCCAGACATAGAGATGGTTAATTTAAAATTGTGATAAGTATACCTCTGTTGATAAATAACATATTTTTGCTGTATCATGTCTACTAATTGGGAGAAAAAAAATACATGCATGTAGCATAATTCTACAACCCTAACTGGCATACTAATTGAGACCAAACACTGCTGAACGGTTCACAAGGATCGGGATTTTTCTATGTGCATAATCACAAAGAATTTTTTGGCCAAAACCAGAAGTGGATAGGGATGGTTTATTTCAAATACTCCGCTTGTATAGGTTTTGCTGAGTTGGTGCAGGCATTAAAATCTCTTTATAGGGACTCTAGTGCTTGTATCAGGATCAATATAGCCTACGTGAATTGGTTTGGCAGCCATAAAGATGTCGGACAAGTTTGTGTAGCTTCCCCATGAGTGTTCAATCTATTTATGGACAGTTGTTTGGAAACTCTGAAAGGCGCAAAATGTGGATTAAGAATAGGTGAATAAAACTATTTACGGATTTTATCGTGTTTAATTTACTTATTTTAGTTTCTGTTGTTTGGGGTGTTTTACAGCAGAATTAAAATTAGTAAATTAAACGTGATAAAATCTGTAAAAATAGTTTTATTCAATGTGTAGTATTCATGTAAATATTAAGAAATCATTAAGAATGAGTGAGTTAACCATCAAATACCTTTTGTACTGCGACAATCAAGTCATATTTGCTTCATCTGCAGCCGAGTTGCAAATGATGGTTACTTTAATGAACAAGTCATTAAGAGAAAGGAGAATGAAAGTGAACAGAAGTTAGACAAAAGTGATGGTTCAAAAACCATCGCACGGGAGAACAAAGTAAAACAATATGTGTAATAAAAATAGAAGCAAGTGAATGAGTTTGTGTATTTAGGATGTGTGTTTAGCAGGGATGGTAGACATGACATGGATATAGGACAACAAATGAATGCAGGAAACAGAGTAATTGGGGCTTTTAAATTTATTGTAAGAACTTAGAATGAGTCAATAAAAGGCATGTATGGAAATTGACAATGCTGTGTTAGTCCCTATCTTAAATGTATAGTAGTGAAAGTTGGGTGTAGCAGAAAAGGCAGTGAGAGTAAAATAAATGCAGTATATTAGGGGTTAAATTGTGTGATAAAAGAAGTGTGGTTTGCAAGATGATGTCGTAACCAGGATTAAAAAAGAATGCTTCGGTGGTTTGGTTATGCAGAAAAAATGAAGGAAGAAAGAGTGACAAGGAAAATTTATGTTGCAGAAGTCAATGACAGAGTCAGCAAGGGATGTCCTGTACAGAATATTGACCAAATTGACGATATATTCAAGATGAACTAAATTAAGAGTATCTTTAATCGACAAGCATGTATACATAGGTATATGGACCTGAAGGGGGTGACAGAGAGATGTAAGGACCGTGCCAAATGGAAAAACATATTCTCTGTCTACCACTCTGAATAACAGGTGTGGGTTTATGTATCTATGTATGTATATTTTATGAATACTTAGTATATGTATAATTTTCTGCATTACTCTAACAGTTCATAAAAGATTGAACGTACTTTCATCAAGTAGTAGTGACAAAAAAAGACTGCTTATTGTTATAAATATAATTAAGTGATTATTATTATAAAGGTATAGTTATCAAAGTTTTGTATTTTAGTTAATTTGATTTAATACTAATGATTAATAAATTTCTATCAGGAAACTCTCATTATCGAATACAAATATTTCGATTCCGTTATTCAAACCAATGTCATTGTTCGCTACACCCACCTAGTTTTTCTAAATAGCCATTTACTTTTTTAGTCTTCTACCATATACACCTTTTCTCAAAGTTTGCGCACCTTTGATGTTAAGACATCTTAGTCCAACTTAGTAAAAGCTCTATTAAATTATTGTAGAAGCCACAGTAATCACTAGGCGTGGTTGAGGAGAGTTTTTATGCTCAGAAGTCCCTTTATTTGATCTGATTATTCACTCAAGTTTAAAAGAATACAGTCCCTCCCAATTCATGTTTCTTGATGATAATCAATAAATTGCAAGGGGAGTTCTTGAAAAAGGCTAGCATTGACTGACAAACCTCTGTTTTACTACTTTTTTTATATAGAATAAGTATGACAAACGAGCGCACAATCCACCTGATGGTAAGTGGTTGCTGTGACCCATAGACATCTACATCTATTCTCAATAAAGAATCAAAATGCAGATGCGTTGTCACCCGTGAGTACTAAGATGGAATGCCTCATTGGTACGACTTTCCATTGACGTCAGTCGAGTTGGGGGTTGATATTTTTTTTACAGAAAGGTTACATTATTATAAGCACACACGCAAAGTTTCAACATGCCGAAACGCGTACTTTTTGAGAAAAAAACTATTGAAAATCAATTATTTTTGCAATATTTATGTCAGTTCTTACCATAGAACTGACGCTATTTTGTATTGTCATTGTCATCGTCAGTAGGATGTCGATTCTTTCCGAAAAAGATCGATTTTATAAATCGATTCGAATCGTAAGCTGATGTATCGATTCACAAAACAATTAATGCGTAACAAATATTGCGGAGGCTGCTTCCCCTTCGCGCCTCCGGCTCTATAAAAACACTCTAGGGATAGGACAGACCTGTACCAGGTGGAGTCAGAGTCAATCAATTCGGTTCTTTGACATAAGTTGTACCTAACCTATTTTATTTATTATCTGCCATAATAGGCACTGTTAAAAATAAAAAAAATTTCAATAAGAGATCATTTATTATGGTATCTTTCTTGTTTTTCATAATTTGGATTTATATTTACATTATAAATGCAAAAATGAAAAAATATCGATACTTCAGAAATCGATTTTTTGTGAATCGGTACATAAGCTTATGATTAGAATCGATTTAAAAATCGATCTTTTTCGGAAAGAATCGACATCCCTACTAAAAATGACAATACAAAATGGCGTCAGTTTTACCGTAGGAATTGACATAAATATTGCAAAAATAATTGATTTTCAATAATTTTTTTTAAAAAGTATGCATCTCTGAATGTCGAAACTTTGTGTGTGTGCTTATAATAATGTAACCTTTTTGTAAAAAAAAGATCAAACCTTAACTTGACGGACGTCATTGAGGATTGGCATATATATTGCAAAAATAATTGATTTTCAATATTTTTTTTCTCAAAAAGTACGCATTTCCGCATGTTGAAATTTTGAATTATGTAACCTTTCTGTACAAAAAATATCAACCCCCATCTCGACGGACGTCAATGGAAAGTTAAGCCTTACACTGGTATTCTGTAAGAGCGTGGTCCTTCCCCGGTCAAGGCGACCCATTCATGCTACAACTACTGCTAATATAGCTGCAACATGGCGCTACTACTTTTTTGAAGGTGAAAGTCTAATAGTTGTTAGTCTTACTATGTTGATTTTGTTTTACACAGATAATACAAAAGCATTAAGCTGCTATTTTACGCTGGTTTCTGTGAGAGAGTGGTCCTATCCCACTTGAGCCGACCCATTCATGCTACAACCATAATATAGCTGCAGCATGGCTCTACCACTAAAGTATATAATTTTATATAAATGTATTAGTGAATGTTTAATGCACAAACTACACCTGCTATAACTTTCTAGAAATGAAAGATATTTATATCATTATAATTATAATAGTAAACTAAAATTTTTCTTCTCTCAAATAAAATCTATTCCATCAAATAAAAAACTCAGCCTAATTTAATTTAAAGTATTTTTTGTTATTAAGTAAGAAGAATATAGGAAATTTGATATAAGTTGTGCATGAATAAAATTAATTGGTGTTTCGACCTTGATGTTTGATATTTTATAACATAAATACCCAGACAGACCAGCAATATTTCATACTGTGGCTTTATAAAAACAAATTAAAATACACTAAAAACTATACCAATTTTATAAATAAACGAATTATTCAAAAAATATGTAAAGATAAATTTACGTACCTCAAAAGCTCAGTAGTATGCTGTAAACGACATAACTTTTACTTTCAGATAATATAACTTTGTTTTTAGCACGTAATTGGAATCGTTCCTCTAATCCGCAGGGTGATTACGACTAATGCAGCACTACCCAGACCAAGAGCAACGATAATAACACATGCACTGAATTCGTTCTGTATTAAATTTGCAATTAACTCAAAATTATTGGACACTACTTCGCTTATTGCTGAATTAAATAACAATTCGTTACCGCAGCAAGAACTCATCACAATGTATACTAAAACATAAATATGAATCTGCTAGATACGTTTTATTATATAAATATATTATCTAATAAAAATATTAATTATAAATTTGACCTAAATAAAATGTTATCAGCATGTAAATGTAAACACCTGAGAATGACACAAATGTTCATTATTACATTTTGACATTTGTCTTTTGTTGCCAATACAAAAAAAAACTTGGTTTTACCAATTTTAAGGACAATCAGGTACATTAGAGTACTCTATTGCTATATCACGCTATATCCCCCTATATCTCGTTAATAATTCACGGAAAATTTATAATATTACAAAATACATAATAAATGCTGCACTTAATTCTAATTAGTCTATGTTTGTAAACTGCCTCCACAATACAGGAGAAAATCCTAGAGGGTAACGTTTTTATAATAAAAAAAAAACGTTTATTGTTGTTTAGAAAAGCAAGGAGCCATATTTAAAAGTAACTACCTTACATCTTTACGCTTTGAATACCGGAGAGAACTGACAAGTTGAGTCAACCACCCGACCGTGTAGAACTAATACAAAAATCGTTTGACCCGACCAAGGTCACGACGGTTGGTGGTTGGTTCCGATCGTGTAGAAGGCTTTTTATTTTTTTTTATTTTTTGGAGTTTATGGCCTGGCATCTAGACCTTTAGGCCAAGTCTTGAGTATTTTTATTCGGTTTATTATAATTTCCCCACTGTATTTTTGATGAATTTATATAGAGGCACGTAATATGATCTATTTTTTAACATATCACTCAGGCGGCGGGAGGGATCTTGCACTGTCACTTGATTTTGCACTATGTCACTAATTTCACTGACAAGAATCAATCTGTTAAATGAAAAGCACTCACATGTAAATATGAAATGTTCGATATCACCAACAGAATTATTGCAGAAGGTGCAGTAACTGCTCTCCACTATGCCCAATCGAGCCAGGTGGGCCGGGACGGTGGAGTGACCAAAGCGCAGTCTATTTATAGTGGTAACAAAGTCCCGACTGGCCATTTTCAGTTTGTTATACCATGGTGCTACAGGTAGTTTTTCTTGAACAGTTCCATACCATTTAACCTTCTGTTCTTGATCTTGTTTCCAAAATTCGACCCATAAGCTATTGACCTGGTTGTCAATAGATTGATAACAGTCGGTCAAAGGTACTTTTACTATGGAGCTAACATCCAACATGTTGGTTCCATCACGTGCAATTTTATCTACTATCTCATTTCCTGTTATGCCCCTATGTGATGGAATCCACATGAAAGAGACCTGTATACCCTTTTTTGCATAACTAAATAACAATTTTTTAATATTATACAAAATACAGGGTATTTTTGGAACGCTCCCGAAAACTAAGACAGGCGACAGCACCAAGTATACCTTTGATCATGGGTCACAAATAAATTCGATCCTGATGAAAAAAAAATCATCTTTTAACAACGTTTTATTAGCTTTATTCACGCGCCATCATGTTAGTACAGCTAAATGAAACGATAATTTCATAAAAAATATCATGAAAATACTGAAACATAAAACCAGCAGTGGAATGACTGAATTGTATCACCTGACTAAAGGTCAATGTACTCGCGAACGCAAATTCGCGCGGCCCGCAACTAGCGGGCCATACCACTACATACGCTAATGAAAAAATACTTAAATGAAATGTAACCAAGGTTGGAGTCATGCGTTTTTATTCATCGTGTAGGTATGTTTATTATTCTCATGTATTCAGTTAATGTACCTATTCAGATTAGTTCAGCACTAAGTTATTTAAAAAAAATAGTTATGAAACAGCTTACCGCTCTAAATCCTCCGTGGTCTTATGAGATGCAGCTCAAATTGTGCTCCATTCATTTCAAGGTAGATTTGGGTGCAGGCGGGGCATCATCGTGTGGTCTTCGACACAGTCCGTACATAGTTTCTCGAAAGCATCCACGATCCTTTGGCGCATTTTGTCAGCACTATCACACTCACGATTAAAAACCCTTTCTTTCACATACCAAAAAGAAGTCGAACGGGGTCAGATCTGGTGAGCGAGGTGGCCAAGCGTGTGGTCCTAGTCTGCCGATCCAGCGATCATCAAATAGCTCGTTGAGGCGCTCACGGACGAACCTCACGACATGGTATCGCTGTCTGTTCAGTCGCTGTGGCAGAAACACTGGTCCCAGTATGCGATTCTTAAATAAACCTGCCCATACGTTAACCGACCATCGGGTTTGGTGCCCGGTTTGTCGAACAGCGTGCGGGTTAACCTCTGAATACACGTGTGTATTTCTTCGGTTCCACAGGCCGTTTCTGGTAAATGTCGACTCATCCGTCCAGATAATGTGCTCAATGGAACCAGGCACACGTTGTCGCTGGTATAATAACCAACGGCAGAAAACTCGTCGGTGGACGTGATTGCCGGGAACTAAAGCTTGCGCTTTGTGCAATTTTTATGGGCGCATTCGGTTACGCTTCAACACTTTGTGCACTGCACAAACGCATCCCGACGTCTTAACAATTTATTTGGCGATACTTCGTGTACCTGGGTTCGGATAACATGTTGCTGTATTCACAATCACTATAAAAGTACGCGTTAAGCATTATTAAAACAAAAAACGTAACAACAGGTATAATACCAACACGTAATCACAAGTAATAACAATACGATTGAGCTGTCGCTCACGCACGCGTGTACAAAATCAACACGGAACTGTTTCAAAAACTACAATTAATAACGAACCCCAACAAAACTGAAACCTACTGCTAGGACAGTTATTATACTCTTTGTCTCACAGAATACTTTACTCCTTGCTTTGTGTACTGCGTCACAGCGTGAGGCGACACGAGCCGACCGGGTTACATTCTGCCGTCGTCGGGTTACATAAAGAAGGACGCAACTAACAAAAACGTAAAATGGAAATAAAAAATAAATTGATGAATTTTTCTTTCAGACCCTGTGTCTAAAGTACCTATATTAAAAGGTATCTATATGAAAATACGTAGAGACATGAAGATTTTAAGGACGAACAAATTTTTTGATAATTTGTTTATTTATTTAAATAAAACGAATTTTCCTTTTCATCTTAGCTTAAAAAATACACCTGGCAACACAAAAACATCGAAGGAAAGACGCATATAACTATTTGCGTCTTTCCAACCTAATAAATTAAAAAAAAACTGCCATTCATTTAACAATTTTACATATTTTGGAAAGGTCATTTGAAGTTGAAAGGACGCTAATAGTAATTTACTACTTTTTTTTTAATAAATATTAGAAAAGCATTGGTAGTGAGACACAAAAAATAATAATTTTAAAAAGTAATTATTTTAAAGGGGATATCATACAAGACTTACTACGATAATAATTAAAAATTAAAAATTTTGTACAACCGACTTTAATATAAATAATTAAGGATAACTCAAAAACTATTGGTCTGACCTCGATCAAATTTATATGGGACCACATGTGAAACACCAGCTCTTAACAATAAGATATAAGCTCTTAATAATAAGATATAGAATAATAAGACAAGACCAAGAATAATTGAAATTTAAGTAATCGATGCAAATATTGTTAAAGATGACGTAGCAACTGGTTAAATAAGTCTTTTCTTTTATGTTGAATTTGTATAAGTCTTTTCTACTAAAAAAAGTCATCTGTGATCAACAGTTACGTCTAAAATTCTTACGATAATTTCTAAAATATTGATATTTGTGAATATTAAAAAAATTTAGTAGATGCGCCTTCTTATCATGAATCGAATGGTATATTTAACTCATTTATTCATAAATTGTTAGATGCGCCCTTTTTTCTTACGACCGCGTGTTTCGTACCGAGCTAGATACAGGTCGATAGCGGAGGGGGTGTGGGTACAATCGCGTTCTAAAGTACTACATGGTATTGGGCTATTGTTTTATAATATTATAGTAATTAATTGTTTTAATGTAGAATCATAATAGGTGTTTTACTAGCTACTTAGAACTTTGGAAGAGGTGGGAATTAAAAATGGATAATGTTTACATGAGCATTATTTGTTATTTCTATCGTAAAATATAAAGTAGTTTGTAACAAGAAAACTTTAGCTAAGGGTAACACGCCGTCCATTATGACGTCTTGGGTCACACAGGTCGATCACATGGTAATTTTTTCGGTATTCTTCCTCCACACTTTTAACTTTACTGCACAATTTTCCCCATTCACCTTCTCCTATCATATTTACCTTTTCGATCACTAGTTTAGTCATAAAACAATAGATATAAATAATTTTTCTTTCCTTCCTTTTTAAAACATCGTCGCGAGTCGCAAAGTAAGCTGTGTATGCGACTGTATTTTTGGAGCGAACAAAGCGCGGGAACCAATAGCATGCAGGCACACTAATACTGGCGGATTGTTCCCCCGTCGCGCGCCTTTCGTACCAATATGTGATAAATCGCTCAGTGCCCAAGTTCAAGGCCAGCGTTTGTTTTTTACCGTTCGCGCGTACATTAACCTCCATTAGTCAGGTGATATCAATTCAGTTTCCACTGCTGGTTTTATGTTTCAGTATTTTCATGATATTTTTTATGAAATTATCGTTTCATTTAGCTGTACTAACATGATGGCGCGTGAGTAAAGCTAATAAAACGTTGTTAAAAGATGATTTTTTTTTCATCAGGATCGACTTTATTTGTAACCCATGATCAAAGGTATACTTGGTGCTGTCACCTGTCTTAATTTTCGGGAGCGTTCCAAAAATACCCTGTATAGTTTTTTTTAAAGTCAAATCTGAGATTAGTTAAACTTTGGACCATACTTAAACTGTCTGTTAAAATTAAAAAATTATTAAAACTATTTATATGTGCAATCCTCTTCAGGGCCTCGAGGGCCGCATATACCTCTGCACAATGCACTGCACTCTGGACAATTATCTAAACCAGAGGTTGTGTTTCGTCTGGACTGTAAACTTGTACAAAACTCACTCCAAGTAAAGGGTTCTATGAGGAAACTGGACTTCTGAAGACTATTATTAATTTGAAAATAACTTTCTAGATTATCAATAACCCTACATCCATTTCGAGATAATTTGTCTAAAAGAGGGACTACAAATTCGTCTTTATATGTTCTATGATTGCATTTTATTCGTTTAAA